TCTCTCAGGGCTGAAAATAAAGATGAAAGTCTTTTTGCTGCATATAAAACAATTAACTACAGGTGATTCTGTAGCCTCTTCTCCAGGATAAAAAAAGAGGACTCTATTTTAATCTTATTTAATTATTGACAGCCTCACATCTTGATTAAGTTCTCTTCTCCCCCAAAGTTAATGATGTAAAATATTTGATTCCTTTTTAATCCAGATAATTACAAGATAGATGTAAATTAGGAAGCTGCTGTTTGGATTCTATGTCACCTTGAATTCAGTCTGGTTTAGCACACACACAGTGCTGCACATTTAACCAAAATAGCATTAAGTGAAATTTTAAAACCCATTTTACCTTTAATGCTATATACTTGTCTCAAAGAGATAGGTAGACATGTTAAGATCTTTGTATCTGACTTAGAATGACTTGATTTTACAATCAGATATTATTGTGCTCTGTAGTGTTGTAGGCGGCACTTGAAGGTTGAAGACTGACAGGCCCTGATGTAAATCCTGTAAATGTTATTTAAAAGATACACAACCTTGGCTGCATTTACAGACCTCCCCTGAGTAGGACAGCTATTACTGTAGGGAACGGTGAGAATTAAGTAACATGTTAAAGTTGTATAGTCTGGGATGTGATCAATAGATATAGTTCTGTTGCCGTCTCATGCTCTGTTTAAAGGTGTATAGAAGTGTTTTGATAAAAGGGAAAAGGAGAAGAAGAAATTCTGGCAGCAGTGACAGCAGAAGCCATCAGAATTCTCCGACAGAACTAAACAAAGACAGAAGTAAGTGGGATCTTTATGAATTTATACAACTAAATTAGGAGCTTCTCTTATTTTTTAGGTCTAGGACTAAAGAATTACTAAAATTACTGTTGTAGAAACTATGGAAAGAGTTTACTGGCAAAAGATACGTTGGAACAATAAACTAAATTCTAAATTTAGTAGCAAAGTTGTCCTTTATTCTGTGGTTTTGAGACACATTGTGTGTAACATTTTTCTCTAGGGGTACTAGAAAAGGTTAGAAAAGACAGGCATTTGTTGACCTGAGTTCCAGAAAAATGTGGCATGTCGACAGAAACCATGCTGTGGAAATACCATCCTTAATTGCTGGTTTATACTACTTAATGCAGGGCTCGGGCCTAGAAAACTGGTGTCAATTAATGAATACTTGCTACAACTAATGAATACTTGGTGTCAATTAATGAAGCCCTTGCTACATTAGTAGCATGATAGTAAAGTTAGTGGGGCTTCCCAGGTAGCTCAGTGGTAAAGAGTCCGCCTGCCAATGCAGGAAAGCAGGAGATGCGGGTTCGATCCTTGGGGTGGGAAGATCCCCTGGAGCATGGCGACCTGCTCAAGTATTCTTGCTGGGATAATCCCATGAACAGAGGAGCCTGGTGGGCTACAGTCCATGGATTGTCAAAGAACATGCACACATACAGTTAGTGCTAAAATACCTCATCTGCGCTTTGCTCCCCGGTGTAGAGGGCCCACTTGCTGCCATTTAACAAGTAGAGCGGGTAGCTGTCTACCCTCCTCTTCCTGAATTTTGTTTTTAAAAGCCTCCCTGTTATACACCTTCCACCCTACCCGGCACAGCCAGCAGAGACTCCAGTCCCGTCATGAGGTCCAGCAGCACCCTGCCAGTCCCGCAGCCGAGCAGCGCCCCACCCACCCCGACTCGCCTCACGGGGGCCAACAGTGACGTGGAGGAGGAAGAGAGAGGAGACCTCATCCAGTTCTACAACAACATCTATATCAAACAGATTAAAACGTTTGCCATAAAGTACTCACAGGCAAATGCAGTAAGTTTGAGGAGGATTATTTCATACTTTTTTCCCACTTGTGAAGAATGAGAAATCACTTGTTTTTGAGCTGCTTCTGTAAAGTAGCTTGACAAATAATTCTTTTGCTAAGTAAAACTGAGAAAGTCTTTTAACAGAAATAATTTGTTTAATGAACATAACTTCTACTATTGTGAAGTATTAAACAAGACTGTATTTGGATTCCCTGCAAAGTACAGTCATATGAGACGGACTGCATAAGTTCAAATTACCCAAAACTTGCCAGCTCTGGTGACCTTGCAAATTATTTAACTTTCTCTGTGCCTTTTGTTTCCTTGTATATAAAATGGGAATACAAGTAGTCCTTTGCTTATAGGGTTGTTGTGAGGATTAAATGACATAATATATTAAAAATGGTTAAAACAGTGACATAAAGAAAGCACTAAACCAATTCCTATTGTATGGTTTTCTTTAGGTTTAATTTTTGCTGCGAATACATCACTATCTATCATTCATAAAGCATTTGGTTTATTATTCCTCTTTAATGATTCAGCAAGAATAACCATTTTCCCAAAAAAGTAACTGGTTAGGAATTTTGTTTACCGTAGAATTTTTTTTTACACAGATGGATGCTCCTCCACTCTCTCCCTATCCATTTGTAAGAACAGGCTCTCCTCGCCGAATACAGTTGTCTCAGAACCATCCTGTCTACATTTCCCCACATAAAAATGAAGCGATGCTTTCTCCTCGAGAAAAGATTTTCTACTACTTCAGCAACAGTCCTTCAAAGGTGAGCCTAATGTAGAGCTTGGCCTTTACCAGCCCCACATACTTAGGATTCTAAGGGTTGTTGGAAACCTTCAGCATGCACACGATGGGATCTGCCAAGGAAGAGTGACCAATAGCCCCACAGCAGCAGAAAACAAGGGTTTGGGGGAGAACTTTCAAGTTGGAAACAGGGTAAGGGGTTTGGATTTTCATCCCTCTCTTTTCTTATTTGTGCATTTGAACATTCTGCTATAAATATGGAATTTTATTTTTTTGTCCCATTTTTAAAACTTTAAAATTCCAAATTTCTGTTAGAGAAAACCCAGATCCCTTGACAGATTACTCAGTACCTGTGTCTGGGACAGGAACTGTCTCTGTCCTTTGAATTCTTAGCCTAAGAAGAGAAACGGGCATTTTATAACGACATGCACATTAGCACCGATTTAAGTGGTAGCATCTGCCTCAGTCTGCAGTGGGTAGGGAAGCTTGAGTCAAGCCTTAACAGATGAAAAATTAGGAGGCTGCTGAGGTGTGGAAGGAAGGGCATCCAGGATGAAGTGGACGAGACAGGGAAACAAAGTCCTGGAAGCAGTGAGGCTAGAGCTCCGGGAGTCACATGTCACTCACTGTTAAGGAGGCAGCTAGGGACACTTGCAGAGATTGTTCGGAAAACACAGAGAGATAGCAAATGGCCCAGGACAAACACAGGCACAGATCCCTAAAACACACAGCGTCAGTGCCATGAAGAGACGGGCGAGGTCGAAGGCAGGGCCAGTACTGCTCTGATGTTTCCCTACTAGCGGATTTTCATCCCACGCCAAGTTCAGTTCCAAACAGGTTAGAAAGTTAAACAGAAAAGTAAATTGGAATAGGACTATTCAATTCAAAAGAAGGCCAAAAAAGGAAGACAACAAAGAGCAAGTAAATATAGGTGGTCTAAATACCCCAGTTAAAATGCAGGAATTGTTAACACTGGATGATACAGATTACCACAGAATACTATGTAGCAGTTAGATATGTGATCCATATATACTGATATGAGAAGGCGTAAGATATAATGTGGACTGAACAGGACATAATACACCATTTTAATTTTTTTGAAACCCTACTTAATGAACATTATTACATTTCTAATGCATGCCTTCCTAGAAAAAAGAGCAGAAAGCTACACAGTAGCCTGATCTGTTTGGTGAATGAATGGTAACAGTAAGCGTCCTTAGGGATTGGGTGAGGACAAGAAGGTATATTCTGTATGAATCTGGGGAGAATAAGTATTCATTTTTAAACTGGCATGTACATATTATATAAATCGTGTATAAAACATTGTACTATATATAAATTATATATAGTAATGTGTTATTAATCTATATTAATGTTATGTATATAGTAAGGCACACAATTATACTTGCACAATAGATAAAAATATAATGTATATACATTATACAAATACCACTTGTACAATTAATGTATAGTTAACAATTTAAGACTATTCAAGTTAAGTGGGAGACTAGAAAGCAGAGCAGACTTTTAGGGAGGCAAGAGAGTAGGAGAGAAAGAGGAAAGCTTGCTTAAAATGGTTAAAATTTGAGAAGGTGCATATACTGATTATAGAAAACTGTGGTGGTTTTATTTTAAACCTCAGAAAAGCCTATTATTTAAGAATAAAAAATAAATAGGATTTGCTTTAAAACATCTGAGAGATGAGAAATGAAGGTATAGATCAAATAAGACTGGCCAACATTGCTGAAGTAGGGTGATGGTCATGTGAAGGTTCACTATATACGCTTTTCCGTTTCCATGTTTGACATGTCCTAAAACAAATGCATGTAAAATCTGGTCAGTATGCTTTCTACTAGGAAGCATGGACAATGAAATCAGTGGCACATGAAAAAAAAAATTATCTGAAAATAATGTAACAGCTGACTTCTGGGACTCTGGGGAAACTTCGTGCTGAAGGCACCTATACATAGATCCAGTCTTTCTAGCCCCATGGCAATATTCTTCTCACTCCACGTTCCTCACGTGAACCAGAGCATGCAGAAAACAAATTTGCCTGACTTTCCTCAGTTCTCCCGAGGAAGATGTATAACATATTCTAGAATTCTATATTATACTTATGGATTACCTACCAGGGAATTAAGACCTCTCCTGTGAAACTCCATGGCTGCTAAAATGAGTAACACTAGACTGGGGAAAAGGGGGCATAATACTATATCAAGTCATGTTACTGTTTAAAAAAGGAAAATGGAAATGTATGGAATTGGTTAAATATGGCATAGCAATGTGATGCTCTGTAACTTTTGTAAAAAAGAATCAGATTTGTGAACTTTTATATTGTTAAAGTGTATATCAAAATCACCTCTGGAGCCTGTTAAAAAAAACAGAAATACTCTGCCTCTATCCCAGTCATCAGTGTCAGCTAGCTGAGAAGTGAAACCAGAAGGATGTAAAATTTGCTAGTTCTTTCCTTTATAAAGATGTTCAAACTCTTCAATGTAAACTGCTTAACTAATTTGAGGTTCTTTGATGCAACACTGAACTGTGTGTATTAGAATTTTAACGCTTTTTGTATCTATCTTTACCTCTGCCACCAGAGACTGAGAGAAATTAACAGTATGATACGGACAGGAGAAACTCCAACCAAAAAGAGAGGGATTCTTTTGGAAGATGGAAGTGAATCACCTGCAAAAAGAATTTGCCCAGAAAATCATTCTGCCTTATTACGTCGTCTCCAAGATGTAGCTAATGACCGAGGTTCCCACTGAGGTTAGTCCGTTGTATTGAAACTGTCTCTTCACAAACTCTGTTTAGCAGCAGCATTTAACGCATGCTAGATTATGGGGCTCTTTTCCTGAATCCTTCCAGTATCCTTATGATATTTTTACTTACCCCAACTGCCTTTTTTCCTACCTTGCAGTGCTTGCCATCAAGGCTGCCTAGAATCCAACACAGTTGGATTTTTTAACTCTTTGGCAAAGCTATTCCAAGTATTACAAGTACTGCAGAGAACGAAGCGTACTTGTGTCTAGAAGAGGTCTCTGTTAACATGTTCCAGCAGAGGAACCATGTTTCAGTTCATTCCTGTTTTGTGGTCAGCCCTGGCCCTGATGAAAAGCAAAACTTGGCATTTCGTCCTAAAACACTTGGTAGGAGTGTGAGATTTCTGCATTCCTAAAAGGTAACAAATTGGGAAAGCACCCAGATTTGGGGGTCCTAGATAACCAGTCCAAGTCTCCCGTTTCCTTTGTGTAATTCTTCCCTACCCCAGTAGGTGTGGTGCAGTGTGACAAGTCTTTGGTGTGCAATGTGTGAGTGAACTTGTATAAGAAGTGGCACTTTAGGGCTGTAAAAAGCATGATTTTGTAACCCAGATTTTGCTGTATATTTGCGATGGCACTTTCTACAATGTGAACTTTATTAAGTACAAAACTTCTAGGCTTAATATCTTCTTTGATGCTTTTGTACTTTTTTTAAATTGTTAAAGCCCCAGTAGGTACCTTTTGGGCATGTGTTTGAAATTCTCCATTTTTGTTGATAGGGATCAGCTGGCTAAGTAAAGATTTTAAATCAAGTTGAATTAAGAGATTATGAAAAATTATGACCTCTTCCTTTAGGAGGTAGTTATCCAAAAAGACATGTGTCTTTATTAAGGTGGTATTTTTAAATATCTTTGGGTGTGTTCCTAGAAGTTTAAAAAAATAGATTGGAGAATTTTAGGTTTTTATTAGTACACAGTACCATTTATACAGATTAGAAAATGTTAATTTAACAGCTACTGAATTATCTATATATACCTTTATTAATCACTATTGTTCCAGCAGTTTTAAAGTTGAATGAATAATCTTATTAGGGAGAAAGTTCAATTGTAAATTGAATCAGTATAAACAAAGTTACTAGGTAACTTCATATTGCTCTGAAAGAAATATGGAACTTACACTGTTCAATTAGAATAGTGTTCTGCAAAAATATTTATAAAACCTCTCAAGATACTGCTACTGTAATTTTATATGAAAATAAGTATATTTTTCAATAAAGCATTTATAAATTAATCTTTGTTTATATTGAGAAAAGGGTATTTAGTTTCCTGCATAAATGACAAAGAACAATCATTCATTGATTTATTGTCTCTACAAAACACACTAGTCATTCATCATTTAAATCTGACTTCATTAGAAACCGTTTTAACACTTTTTCTCCCTCCTGCCATAAAAATACAGTAATTTGCTTAAAAAAAAAAAACACAAAACACCTAAGAACAAGTGTTCTGGCTTCCTCTCACTCTCCTCGTATGTCCCTCAGTGACAGCAGTTTGTATATCAGTAACACAGTGAGCTGAAGACTGAGGTTCATTCATTCAACTGCTCCTCCACTTAAAAGTGCTAATAAGCTATGGAAACTGCTATCCTTTCCTCTCTGCACCCTAACATATGTACAACTGAAACCACCAATTAAAAAATCATTATAGTGTTGAACTTTGCTTACTTCATTAGTTTAAATGAATGCAACTTACCTTTAGCATTATATTCAAAAAAATACGTAAGCTTCAAGGTCCCCAATAATTTGGAGTACTGAACTAGATAACCACCTTTAAAGACACTCCTGACAGAAGTAATGCATCGCGTAAAGAGAGGTTTCCAGAACGTGCGGTTAGAAGCTAAGCACACACGAGCACCACTGACGTCAGCCACTGTTCACAGCGCTTTACTCTGCAGGCGGTCCTTCGCATTGGTCAGCTTCACGGGCCGGAGTCCAGCAGGAAAGTGCGCGGTGCACCCGATCCACCAGCTCTTAAGTCGCTACTGTTTTCTCTTCTTTACTGAAAGGCTGTACTGAGCCAGGCTTCACCCACGACAGGCCAGCGACATGAACACTTTTATTGTGCTGTTCTTCAGGCTTCTTCTAGGCACAATAAAAGCAGACATTACAGACCAATAAGGAGATTTCAGCACTGTACCAGTCTGTCTCCCCAAAAGTCACTGTATACACTCAGTGGTCACCAGTGAAGACAATTTAGGAAAGAAACAGCAAGTTACCTATTTCTAAAATGGCCATTTACTTACTTTCTGAGTCAGCATCTTCTCTCTGGCTTCATCATGGACAGAAGGATTCCATGGAGAAAAGCTGAAGGAAGAGAGAAACACTAAAGAGCGGCTCACTAAATTTAATATCCATCTTTAAGCCTGCTCCTCAAACAGAACTTAACAAGGAACAGTCTTAATCAGTTGTCAGTATGTAAGTTTCAGACACTACCTAAATGATTTTCTTATGTAATTATCCCTTAGAGAGCACTTTTCCTGGGTTAGCTCACGTAAGCCTTGCAACCACCCCTGATGTCCTATTACAGATGAAGAAAGCAAGGCACAGTAAAATTAAGTAACTGCTCAGGGTCACCAGAGCCAATTAAGGGCAAATGTCACCCCGTCTAAGTGCAGAGCCCAAGCTCTTAACACTACACTACGCTCCTCTCTCCCAGCAACACCCATGCTGCCCAAGAGCTAAGTCACTTCGGCTCTCAGCACTTGCAGACACTCTTTCCCAACACACTAACAGTGCTTGGGGAACCCATGATTCGGACTGTTCACGCACACTGATCAGTTTCCCTCCTTTCACCAAATCTGTACGTTGATGGGGTAATGACCATTTAAGAGGGGCTCCAATTGGAAAGAAAAGTCCTGACACCTGAGTGATCACATTACCAGGATCTTTGAGAAACCAAAGTCACCCAATAGCTTGCTCCTGGCCAGTGTCATACATGTAAAGCTGAAGTCAAGTTAGAAAGATTGTAGGCTAGCAGATGGCTCACTTTCCTTTTAAATCCCCATTCTAAGGCCACCTGGAAAACAGAAGCCCAGTACAAGTGCAGCTTATCTGGATAATGTACCACTCACCTAATTGCATAGGGGTCTTCTATTTTAGGTTGGTCAAACAAGCGAGCAGTGCACACCTTAACGCTGTCAACCACTTTACTTTTAAAGAGCTGAATATCTTTCTCGTACCTGTGTCAAAAGTTTAAATCAAAAGGTTACCAACATGATCTCCTTCGCTGTCTTTTCAAATGTATCTTAAAAGTATCTTAAATGACAAAGCAGAGGAACATACAGTACTGCAGCCTCTGGGTTTAGGGGGCTTGCTGTATCAATCTTGTAGAAGACTCTCCTTGCGTACATCAGTACTTGCCAAATGTGATTATGATTCCGCCTAAAGGGAAACACAGCGGGGTGACTAAGGCTTCCCTTTGCTGGCTTATATCACCACAAGAAACTCTTTATTTACTAACCTCCATTTTGCAAATGCTCTCTTCACATCGAGCTCACCCGAGGTGGGATCCACTAGCGGGTGAAAGACGGGAATATCAAACACCAAACGCTACAGCGAGAGAAGGACACTGCCTTTAATGGAAGCAGTGGAGCTTGTTAAACCCACACACAGAAGTTGTAAAAGGAACTTCACGACAAGGCAGTCTTGTTGCTTAAGGTCAAAGAGCTGCCTTAAAAGGGACACTTGAGTACTTTCACCATTTTCCTGTCAAAGTAAATTTTGCAAGAAGCAAAGGGAAAGTCGCTCTCCCCCACCACAGCAGAACAATCGCCACTCACGTGGCACGTGCTCCACCACAGCTTCCAGCCTCACAGGCACACCCCGCACAGAGAAACAAGCAAGGCAGAAGCCCGCATGGCCAAAGATGGAACAAAGCAAAAAAAAAAACCCTCAAAGGACTACACAGCGGACAGAACATCCTGGGAAACTGAAATCATAAAAGTTATTAGGTCCAGAAAAGAACCAAGACATTCTGAAAGCCCCGTTAAGCCCTCCTCACTGACCACGCAGTGAAGCCAGAGAGTATCCCCCACTTACTGGACAGTCACCATCCGGGTAGTTATCAGGGATGTAAACTGTAAACTTAAATACGCCATCTTGATAAAGTCCATGCCGTATGAATATTACTCCAAACCACACTGCAGGACAAAATAGAAACACTTAAGGGCTAAGTTTGCATCAGCGGAATCAAACATGCTATAAAAAGAGCGAATGCTTCTTACTTAATGCAGATCGATAAGACGGCTGCACGTAGACACCTGGTAACTTCTGCTTCACAACCAAGGTACTGAAACAGAAGCAGAATAGTGAGACCGCAGGAATGTAAAGGACACATAAAGACCAAGCCACCCACATTCTGTAAAGAAGGAACAGTCCCTCAAAGGGCAGCCGATGCCCTGACCACACGGAGTCAGCGCAATCGGTTGCCTGGCCCTAACTGCTGTCTGTCTACTGGCTTCATAACATACGCACAGAGCAGCACAGCCAGAAAAGGGCCCCAGGTTAAGAAATGAAAGCCAAGCAGGGATTCACAGTCAAGTTTCCTCCCAGAAATCAGCTTCCCCAAAACACCATCTTGGCAGCCAACCTGTATAGTTAATGCTGGACATCAAGTTTTAGGTCAGTGAGAGTTGTTTGTAAGGTTATTGCTTTTGTGACCAAGGACAACAGATCTTACCCACACACATTCAAAAGCTCTTTGAAGGTCCAATTGTAAGTAATTAAGACATTAAAATTCCACAGGATTTCCCTCACTTGGGGGTAATTTTAAGTGTCAGTGTGCAGCATCTGACTATACTCTGCTCCTGAATTCACCCCCAACTCAGGCCCTTGAACTCTGCAGGCCTTGGCGTGGGAGCCAGCGGGAGCTGAAACAAGGAAGACAGGCTGCACTGGCTCTTCTGGGACCTGGTCGTTATGCTCTGCTCCCTGCGGCTGAGCCATGAGCCTATACAAGTAACGCTGTGACCAGACCTAGGGAAGAACTGAAGGCCTTAAAACACATTAACCTGCCAACCCTCAGTTTTACTGAGAAATAACTTATTAGATCTCAGTTGACATTGTATTTCTTACCTATTTGCTACCACACTTATTTTTCAATCATTTTAAAGTAGTTATTCCATTTTTAAATCACTACAATTCAGCACATCAACAGCAGTGTGGATGGCAGATGTATCTCCTACAGAGCTTTGCCAGAAAGGCAGATTTTGTGGCCTAATACAGCAGATTTAACACCACAACAGAAGCCTGCACTGCCTCGCCTCAAATACAGGCATCCATTAAAAGTTACCAGCTCACGCTCAGCCATTCGCACCGGGGCCTCAGACCCTCTGACCATTACAACATGAGTAAAGAAAGGGGGCACTGGAGGGTGCTCTTGAAACAGCTTCATGGGCAAAGGCATTTTTAAATGACTGAGACTCAGAATTAATTCTCCAGACTTGCTGCCCATGTAACAAATGACCAAATAAAATGCCATCTGCACTCACTCACTGCTTGAGCCCCTCTGATGGGCCAAGCACTGTTTCATTACTACTAGACTATGCAGAGGTGCCCATCTCCTCACAATCTATGGACGGGTACAACCTCAGTCCAATTTGTGACTTCTGTGAGTAGTCAAGTTCTTAGATGGAGCCCAGATCTTTTAAAACTTCCCAATTGTCTACTTCTGCCTTTGGGGGTCCTACAGAATAACTCAAATCCTCTTTCTAATTGATAGGCCTTCAAATACATGAAGACAGCTTTAATAAGTACTTTCTAAGTTTTCTCCAAGTAAGCGGTTCCTGTTCCTTCAATTGTTGACTCCTAAGGTCAGGCTTCCTGACCTCCGCCTCCTGGGACTGGCCTCTCAGTCTGTCAGGATGCCTCGTAAGGGTGATCGCCAGAATGAAGCACCAGCCTCCAGCTGCGTCTGACCCAAGAAAGAATAGATTGCCACTCTCCCACCATCCTGCCCTCTACAACCACCTCTTCAGGGGGTGAATTCCCCACCTCATATAAAGGTAGACCAAAATTAAATTCCTGGATGCTTAATAAATCTCAAGTTTCTCCCTCCTCTTGCTTTTCAAAACAGACATGGAAATTAAAGCACATATTTGTCTTTGAATCTTACTTACCCAAGCTCTCAGTAAGAACAGTTACTTTTAGAAGCAGATATTTATATACCATCACTGAGGCCTTGGTGAAGAAAGATTACATTGCCAGCAACAGATTCCATCCTATATACGTTAAGACTCACACTGAAGGGGGATGGGTTTGACCGTCAAGATTAAATGGCTGCTGTTTACTGAGTCCATCAGAATAAATTTCATTCTTCACCTTTAAGGGTCATTCAAAATTTAACCGGACAGTTTCAGAACTTACAACTCTGCAAGAAGGGAGTATTCCAGGTAGAAAGGTCCGTAGGAAGCATGCGTGCCATTTGTTGACTGTGTTGCTGGGGCAGGAGATGTAGGCTTAGTTATGGGCAAAGCATTTTTGGGAATAGAAGGCAGCTGTTTCTTTGGAGCGGTGCGTGGAGGACTGGTTTTCACATCCCCTGTTAATGTCTTCTCTTCACCATCAGACCGCTATTCAAGACGAAGTGGTGAGAACATTTGTTAGGATGATTCTTAAATCACAAGGCTATGTGTGATGTCCTTCAGTCCTTGACTGAAAAGCTGGAATGACTCTCTTACAGGGACCTTCTAGCATCGTGATCGAGATGACCTGGAAGTCTGTTGAGTGGGCAAGCTATTATAGACAGCAGAATCAAGCTGATGCAAGGCTAAACCATTAGAAAAACTCATTCACCAGCTGTATCCTATAAAGACAATAAAGCCAATGTTTACAGGATTTACATGAAACAGAAAGAAAGGGTTTCTCTTCAAGGCCCCAGAAAGAGGGCAAGGGGTTACTACATAATTAGACCAGACTAGAAAGGTGCCCTGGCACATAGATGTAGAAAGTTGGGTGCTAAGCATCTCAAAACAAATAGTGTAATGACTGCAATTAGTCACTCCCTGATGTCAGCACTTTGGTTAGAAACAAAGGATGAACCTCTTCTCTCACTCACATGGGTCTGATTTTGATCTGGTCCCTAACTGGTATGTTTTTACATTTGGACTATCATTAGTATAAACTGTCATTCTTAGTCAAAGACAAAGGTCTAAATGATTCAGAGACTAAACTACCACCCCACAGGTATTTCCTTGGCTCCAGAACCATCAAAGGCTGTATCATCAGCTCTATTAAAAGTGTACACAGTATCAGATACAGGAAAAAAAAAAAAAAAGATTACTAGAGTATTCTCTTAGACATGGAATTATGGGTGACATTTTCTTTTTCTTTGCATATTTTAAGCTTCCCTAAAACATATTTTATTTTACAAGATATTTTAGTTAGATAAATTAAACCAGTGCTCTCAAGCCTGACTTGACCACATTGGACTGGCCTTTCCCAAAACTCTCTAGTCATGAAATCTTGAACTTTGTAGAAAAACTACCTACAATATGTGTCACAAATTTCATCATGTGTGAATATAACCTAAGTCAAAATAACAGAATCTTGATTACCAGAATGGTTTCTGAGATGTGATCTCGGTCTCAGCTGACTTTAATCAAGGAAATAATTATTTCTCAAAAATAAAACCTAAACTAGAAAACCAAAGTTAATTCTGCTAAGACGATAGGCAACCTTAATATGGATTATTCTGGCCTCTGTTTTGACTCAAATAGGTTTCCTCCCTAAGTTCATCAACGATACCTACTTTGCGTACAGAGCTTGTAGACATGCTCCAGAAAGGGTTCATAACGTGTGCTCCCAACAAAGAAGTTCAGTGGTCTGTGTCATCAAATTCTTCTGTCCTCAGAATTCACTTCACCTTAAAATGAGACGGGAAAACAGAGAAACATATTGATACCAACAGTTAAACACTTCTGAAATAGTTAAGAGCTAAATCTGAACCTCTAAACAGGAATACAACAGAACGTTATATAATATGCAGTTATAAAAACCTAGGGGAGAGAGTCTTCAGAAATAGTTTCCTTCTACACCCCCTCCCTCTTCTGACTCCAGTTTCTTTCCCATCTTTAAATGCCGACAGGAATCTGTGTACTGAGTCTTTGGCCAGGATTCAGAATATTCAGTGACACAGTTCAGCTCTGGTGCCAGCAGTGCAGAAGATATGGACTAAACAGTTGCTACCAGCAGAATATCTAGGCATCCGACTGCTGGGAAAGCCAGGTTCTGAATACACTGTACCCACAGACACAAAAGGTCTATCATAGTTCTCAGGGTTACGGGGACTGAAGATCCACGGGAGCTGATTTAAGCGTGTCTTAAACACAGAATGATTCTCTCCAGTAAAACTGGCAACCAAAAACAAAGCATGAGAGACAGAGAAAACTGGATCCCGTTGGGACCATCCACATACACACACAGAAAAACCTGATCTTTTCAACTGTTTCAATCCTGGAAACAGCAGGATTATGCATTTAAGGAACTGCCAAGCAATATGTACAAATGCAACAGAAGGGGGCCAAAGAGACCTTTCACAAACACACATCTTCCACCAAAGCATCATGAAGTGGATAAGAAACCCTGTCTAAAGGTCACAAAGTCAGTGGGTCATTTACTAACAACACAAGGGAGAAGCAGCAAGTGGAGCTGTAAGGACAGCAGCTTGTCTGCTCCGGTGACATTCCTCCAGGCTCGGTCAGGTTTAAAACAGCTCTGCTCAATTCCTACTTGCACCGATCAAAAGGCTGAAGGTGGAAAGGGTCAGAACTTCAACAGTATTTTACCAAATTTATGAGCAAGTCATTAGAGTAGGATGTGCCAAATGTCCCCATTCAGCAAAAATGTGTTTTCTGCCGAGCCCATGACATACACAGGTGGGTCTCTCATCCTGCCAGTGCCCATTACTGCTGTTCTGCTTTCCAAGATACAGTGTCACCCAATAATTAAATCAAAAGAATGTGGGTTCTGGTTCTTCCACTTACCTAATGACTTAAATCCAGTAAGCAGCAACTTATTGCTGAGAGGTCTCTGCAAACCTGTGACTATTATACAAGCCAAAATGGCAGGGCACCAAATCTGTAGTGGGGTTAAATATCCCTGTTTGGCGCAAATGAAAACAACATGGTTTTCAGATTCAGAGTAATGGGCAGCACCCAACCGTCATCTAGGTCAAACCTAATTTGACAGGGGAACCCTGTTCCCCTGGGACACAGTGCTCACCACCATGTAAATTGACTGGGGTGGATTACTCACCTGTAAGGTCTCTTCCAAGTCTAATACCTAGTAATTCTATGACTCTGCCTTTAAGAATCAAATATTAATCAAACTTACCCCCAGGTTCCTCCTGCCTTTAAGAAGGAGGTATTGTCTACTGCTGCCTTTGTTTCCAACAACGACATAATCACCTAGAAAAACTGCAGCACGCTTTTCAGGAGTAACTACATCATTTAATAGATGTCTACTGGGCAGGTACAGCATTTTTCCAACAGATGTGCCATAGATGGAAGAAAACACAGGACAGGTCCTAGTCATTCCGAAACAATCTAAAAATTTCTGCTGATCTGGTCGTACAAACAACAAAAGACTGTCTCTTAATATCATACAGCTGAGAAGTCGTAGTTTAGCCCTATACGAATTATCCGCACGTGTACTGAGCCAAAACTTGAGACGGGCGGGGCTTACCTCCTATGTCTAAACAGGCACATCACCCCGAACAGACTTAAAATCACACGTTATAGAGGTGACAGAGCAGGACCCAGGGAAAAGATGAAAATGCCTCGGCCCCGGATCTCTGGGGACAGCCGGGACCGGCACCCTCGCCCGGGGCGTAAACCCATCTCCGCGCACGAAGGGAATCTGGACAAACCTGTCTCGGGATGACGCAAGGCAGGAGCCAAACCCTGACCTTGCTGCTAGCTCGAGGCCGGCCCCGGGCCCCGAGACCCTCGGGTGAGGGGGCTGCGGTCCTCGGACGCTACCCTCAACTGGAAGCAGGGACGGAACCGGGCGAGGAAGGAAGGCCCAGGACTGGGAGAGCCAGCTCGGCCTGCCTCCCCTCCTCAGGCCGGCCCGGTCCAGCCCCCGGTCAGCCCCCGGTCAGCCCCCAGGGCCAGGCCCCGGGGTCGGCGCCCGCCTGCGCAGCAGGTGCCTGCAAACGCGGACAGGTGCCCGGCCCCGCCCCCGTGTCCCAGCGCGGCCGCCGTCGCTACAGTCTAGAACCCCCGGCAGAGCACACAAATGCCGGGCCTGAGGACGCTGGCGGCCCGGGTCTGAGGACTCCACGGCCCTCGCGCACCTACCACAGCCTGGCAGCGCTCCTCACCTCGGTGTTTTCAATGCAGTGCTCCCAGCGGCCGAGCGCCGTCGCAGTCCCACAGCATCTCTGGCCGCAGCGCCAGCCCAGCCCCTGCCTACTCTCCGCCCCTCCCGGCCCTGTTCTCAGCCTCCGGCTCCGCCCCGCAGCCCCATCCCCAGGACCCGGATGCTTCCGCCCAGCCTCGCGGCGCAGAGTGGTTCCTATACCTGTCGGTCAAACACGTTCTTCCGGGGGCGTTGGGGCGGTGGCTAAAGGTTCTGCCAATCAAATCTGCTCGGCTCGGGTGGGGCCGCGCTTGCCCCTCCCCTTACGTAACAGCCCCCGGAGAGAAATGTCAGTCACAGAAGTATCACTCCCTGCGAGGGAGGGGGGATTGTGCTTAGAGGGGAGGGGGAGGGGGGGCGGAAACAAGCGCCCGGACATAATTGGTGATAGCGCCTGCCAGTCACCATGGAGACCCGCCCACGGGCCTAGGCGTGGCCGCCGGTGCTGGTCGCGAAGGCTGTGACTGCGGGTTTCCCGAGCCTGAGTCAGGGGTGGGTAGGGTCGCGGAGCCGGAGTCCCGAACTAGGAGCCTGGGGGCGGGGCCAGCCGCCGCCCGACCGCCCCGGTGCCCGCCCTGGCTCGTCCCTTAGTCTCCCGCTGCGCCGCCAGGCCGGAGACCGCCACGTCGGGCCCACTCGGTCTGGCCGGCCCGCAGTGGGAGGGGCTGGGGCCGCTGTCAGGTTGGGAGAACCTGGGAGAACGTTTGGTGTATCCTTGAGAAATGCCCGTTTTCTATGTCAAAGAGTGGAGGAGCGCATAGGTACAGAAAACGGGACCAAACTCCCAAGTCACCCCTTGGCAGTAGCCTAGCTGCCAGAAGGGCTTTTAAAAGTATACCTATCGGACCTGACCTATAAAATCCGAATCCGAGGGGCGATGAGTACCAGGAATTTACATTTGTGGTAACTTCCTCTGGCGATTCTGGTATGCCTTGAAATATGAGAACCTCTTGCACGGTAACGAAGCTCCCGGTCCTCTGATTTTTTAATTGGTAATTTTTTTACCTAACAAAGGTGATGTGGAACATCTTCACCACATCTAACTCCTTTCACGGGAGTCGTTTCAGACTGAATAAAGTCTAAACGCAGCCTGATTGACAAGGCACACCCTGTGCTGGCCTCATTCCCATATTCCCATCTCATTTCCCACGTTTCTCTCTGGCCTCATTCTGTGGCGGTTGCCCTTGGCTTTTACACCTCCGAGGCTTTTCTTATAATGGTGCCTCCTCTTGGGGTGCTTTTACAGTCCCCACCTAACTTCGGGATCTTATACTCAGAAGAGGAGAAATGGTCTCTGATCTGGCTGTTTTGTTCAATTTTTGGTGGCCTTTCACATTCTGGTAAAATGACCTCCTTGTTAAATGGCAGACAGCCAAACGCTCCTAATCCCCAAGGGTTGGTTCTGAAATCCAACTTCCTCCTCTAGTGAAAACATTCCTGAGCCACTTCCGTTTGTCCAGTTAAAATACACTCGGGAATGTTGTAATGCCCTTACTATTAGTCCCAGTCAATATAAAGAGGAAGATGAGCAGGAAGTCCTTTCTCCTGGCCACAGGTGATCGCCCTTGGCACCTCTCTGACCCAATCCCTCCTCAACTTCTTGGCAGTCTCATCATTCTTTCCTAAACTTTTTCTGATCCCACCTTCAACCCTCCTTCTTGACAATCTCATCTCTTCCCTAAGCTTCACCAAGGACTCACATATATTTCTCCAGCTCAGACCTCTCCACTTTGCCTCAACTCCAGGTATCCAACTGCCCATTTCGGCACTGGATGCTTCAGACACGTATCAAAATCCTTAGAGCTGCACATGCCAGAAAATCCAGCTCAAATCGACTTGCATAGCAAGGAGATTTGCCTCATATGGGAGGGCAGGGTCCAGTGGTGGCAGTCTGGACTTCAGGCACTGCTTTCCTTCCAGTGCCTGGAATGGCTCCTTAGACACACCCAGGTGTGATAATGGCTAGCAAAACAGAAAGCATCTGTTTCTTCCACAGATCTCTTTCACAGAGCAAAGATACCTTTCCCGGAAGTTCCCCAGAAGCAATGCTCACGTTTCAGTGACCAGAAACAAGTCACGCGCTGGTCTCTGCCCACAATGAAACCAGTCAAGGTCAAGTGGAATGAGTTTGCCATGATTGGCTAGGGGCTCAGCAAGATTTACCCTGGTCCCTGGCCTTTAGGCAGAGGAGTGACATGATTGGTTTGTATTTTGAAAAGGCCCATGGAGAAGGAAATGGCAACCCACTCCAGTATTCTTGCCTGGAAAATCTCATGGACAGAGGAGCGTGGCAGGCTACAGTTCATGGGGTCGCAGAATCGGACATAACTGAGTCACTAAACAACAGCAGCTTTGCCTGGAGAACAGGCTGTGGGGTCACGAGAGCACTTGGGAAAACGTTGCGGTAGTTCAGCAAGAGACAGCTGCAAGGATTTGATGGTGAAGATGGAGAAGTGAATGAGTTCAGATAGTCAAGAGGTCGATAGACAGGACTTGCCCGTGGATTAGATATGGGGATGAAGACAAGGGGTGTGTCAAGGATGAAGCCTAGATTTTGACTTGAGCTACTGGATGAATGGTGAGGACTTTCACTAAGATGAGAAACAGTAAAAGCCATGGTGTTTGCAGGGGTGGAGGGATGGGGAAATAGTTCGGTTTCAGTTAGGCAATGTTTGGGGGTGTTTCTTTAAGTTCTCTTGCCTGTGTATTGTTAACTATTTCCCCCTTCTTCCTGACTAACAGAGCTTTGATTTTTGTTGAGGAGTCTTGCCCTTCAGTGGTTTCCTGTTCTTGGGGCAATATAGTCACCGTGGGCCTGGCATGGCAGGGCCTATCTATCCAACCCCATAGGCCCAGGCTCCAGCCACTCACATTCTTTTAATTCCTTGGACGTGTGATGCTCTCCCAGTCTCCCAGTCCTTTTCTCAAAAAGTCGGGGCATAGAGGCTAAACACGTCTCTGCTCAAACACCACTTCCTGAGGGCAATTTTCTGTCTATGTGGGAGATGACTTGTTAGTATCTCTCTCTCTACTATATAGTAAGCTCCATGAAGCAGGCACCATGTCTGCTTCATTGTTCCTGGCCTCCCCAGCATCCAGTGCAATGCCTGCGTGTGGTGGGTGTGAAACAGATCCTTGACAAATGAAGGGCAGAAGCAACTCCGTTCAGTTCAGTTGCTCAGTTGTGTCCAACTCTTTGAGACTCCATGGACTGCAGCACTCCAGGCTTCCCTGTCCATCACCAAACTCCCAGATCTTGTACAAACTCATGTCCATCCAGTCAGTGATGCTATCCAACCATCTCATCCTCTGTCATCCCCTTCTCCTCCTGCCTTCAGTCTTTTCCATCATCAGGGTATTTTCCAGCATCAGGATATTTTCCAATGAGTCAGTTCTTCACATCAAGTGGCCAAAGTATTGGAGTTTCAGCTTCAGCATCAGTCCTTCCAATGAATATTCAGGACTGATTTCCTTTAGAAGCAACTACAGTATATTTAAAATATCAACCAATCTGATGCCTCCAGATGTGCACCAAGGAGCTGATTATGAAAATGAGGATGATTTATTTAAAGGGAAATGAAAAGGTAGCCTTGAGGTACCATTTCTTCAAGACTAAAATATAAAATACTAAGGAAAAAAAAAACCTACTGACCCTAAACCTTACCTGTAAAACATTTTTAATCACTTCATATTATATTCATTAGTCTAACCTTTTGGAGCATATCTGATATTTGTGTCAAAAGATGAATTCTTGGGACTTCCCTGGTGACCAAGTGGTTAAGACTCCATGCTCCCAATGCAGGGGGCATGAGTGTGGTCCCTGGTTAGGGAACTAGGATCCTGCATGCTATGTAGCCAATAAATAATAAAAAATAAATTTAAAACACTTTTAAAGAATTTTAAATTATTTAAAAAGAATTCTTGCATCAGGACTTCAGCAGACTTGTGATCTCTATGAGTAGTCAAGCCTCCTGCCCGTGTTCCAATAAGCAAAATGTTCACTGAGTCCATTTTTCTTTTGGTCTCTGGGAAATTAATGTAGAAAGCCAGTTTAGATCACTGATTTACTACTAAAGGAAGGCCTGAACAGAAGGAAAGGGTCAAATGATGGTTAGTTGAAATGTGTGTTTCATATACATGAGCCAGTATTTTAAAGCTCACTTCATTTACCTCCTAAATCCTTTTCCTACATAATATGGTATGTATATCACTGTTTACATAATTACTGTTCAAGATACTTGAGATGATTATATAACACTGCATTTATTTTAATATATCAGAGAAAAATGCAACAGCACATCACTACCAGGACTTTATGGATAGGAATGTTTAGGCTGAGACCACAGTAATCTTTATTTTAAAGTGAATAGGTTTAAGGGAGGATATTAAGTATTATAGTTAATGATCCTCAGATATGGCAGAAATCATGAATTTTTGACAATGATTCAAATTTGAGAAACTGCTATAGAGGATGGTATGGCTTTTATCCTTTCTGCATCCTCACTGATAATGACAGTTTTCGCTTATAACACCACAAATGTGCTTCTAGTTTTGGGTTGCATCACATTTTCTTCCCTGACCTAGTTCCTATAACTCCTGACTCTTGAATAAATTAGTGAGTGGATGACTGGATTATTGGATAGGTAGATGAAATAGATGAATTTTACAGAATACAATATTTCAAATCTAAATCAGAGTAGCTGACAGACAACTGTGAGTATTTACACCTTAAGAAAAAGCAATCGATATACAACATTGCGGTTCACAGAGGGCCAGAAGAGAACTGATTTTCTTTTATAAACCAAACAGTGCTTTGAACATGGCGTGACACTGCAAATAACCACCCACTCTCTTAGCGTGCTGCTGGCTATTCCACCAGCCACAAGAACTCCTGTTCTCTGATTGGCATTGTATGCAAAATCACCTCACTCTGCAGTTTCAGAGCATTTGGAGAGATGATGAAGGCTTAAGGTTAGTTTTAGCCAGAGGGTAGATTTCAGAAAAGGAAAAAAATGGAGAAAGCAATATTCATCCATTAATAAACATTGATAATTCAGGGTCTGCTGTGGGCAAAGTACTCTACCTGACATAGACACCTTTCTTTCTTACAATAGGTAAATAAAGATCTGTGAAAGTCAAGAAGTCCCAATGATTTTGAGAGTCTGCCACCCAGACTCTCATTTATTTATGTTATCACTCTCATTTCTATGTTCCAACTTTCTATTATGAAAATTTTCAGTCATAGAGAAAAGTAGAGTAAAAGGACTATCCTTAAACTCACCACCCAGGTCAACAACATATTAATGGTGTAATAGTTCT